TTGATCGTTGATAAAAAAATGTTAACTGCATCAGTTCACGCACGTGTGTGACCCTAAAATGACAAGTACGAAAGAGTGTGGGGGAAGACATTTTGGCCCAGTTTGGCAACGGGGGAGGGGCATTCTGTCACTTCTCATCAACGTGCCGAGCCATCAAGTGGAAACCTGAAGCCACTTTCGAAATGATCATGAGCTCACAAGAATTGACAGGTTCTACCATGGTAGCTCGACGAGCTTGCTCCAGCTTCACGAAATTTCACAGGTTTCACCAGGGTGAGACTTGTGGAAATTGTGCCCCCCCCCCTCGTCGCCGAACTGCGCCAACATTTGTTTGAAGATGATGATTGAATACCATAGCACACTTCTTTTTGAAAAGACGATTATCGAGAGTTCAACAACACCCAGGGCACGACGAAGTGACAAGAAGAGTTGAAAACTCGACACGTAAGATCGACGACAACAGTGTCTCATAAGTTCCTAACACAATAAACACTCCAAAAAATCACATACGAAGAACCGACTAAACCAACGTCAAGAAAATTAAAAAAAAAAATGAAGAAATCAATACGACGACAAAGTTATATGTGGAAATCGGACTAATACCAATAATATTGTTGCAATGCAGTATCGAATTTCGAGAACAATATAGTGAAGAGCGTGACGTGAACGCTTGTGAACGCGGGGCAATTGACTACAATATGAATGCGCTAAAACCAGATTCAGAAATGTGCACAATTGTTGCGATAACAGAAAGCATCGCTTATTTCATTGCACTGGAATGTCGTTGCACTTCCCATTCTCCAGGATTTAGTTCAGGACAACCCAGGTAAGGCAGGGTACAAGAAAAGCGTAATATGCCGGCCGTTGGGCGTGTCGATGGACGAGTTTTCCTGCCTGGGCGTTTGCATATGACTGCCAAATAGATGGAAAAATACGGTATCGCTCGTCATGAACTCTTGTCTCCGCTTGACTTCATATTGCTGCTCCAATCGTCTAACTGATCACACCAAGAATTTGCCGTGCATCGCCGCGCGCGCAACGACGCGGCACTTTGTTACGATTGTCGTGTCCCTCTCGCTGATTTCACGGCCTCATCGGTGCAAACGTAGCTGTGTTAGGCCACATAACGGTGTCTGTGTCCCTTCCGCAACCTAGCCTCGGCCTATGAGCGCAGACAGCCAGGGTCGCCGTGAGCCACTCGTATTGAGCAGGCACTCACTATGCGACTCTGGTCGTCTGCGCTCTAAGCCTAATACTTGGTTGATGAAGGGAGGCAGAGGCGCTACTGCGTGGCCCAGCATAGCTACGTTGGCATCCATGAGGCTGTGAAATAGTGAGACGTACAAAACAATCACAGCACGCCCGTGGTCGCGCCGGGGGCATCGTACGCCGATGCACGGCAAATTCTTCGTATGTATCACTTAGACGATAGTATCAGCGAAGTTTGTATGAAGTCAAGCGAAGACAAGACTCCATGACGACCCATACCGAATTTTTCCATCTTTTAGGCACTCATATGCGAACGTCCAGGCACAGCAACTCGTCCATCAGGAGCCGTGTTTCTAGCCAACGTTGGGACTGCCCTATCTCAAAAACGTTCGACAACCGCTGATTTT